TATAATCTTGATGCACCTTATTTAAGATATATAATTAATTATTGTTGTACTCTAATTTTATTTCAAACACATAACTACCACCTTATAACAATGAACTCTAACATTTTGTGCTAAACTTCACTTTTATTTAACATATTATTATTTATTATAATAAATATAATTTACGTCTAAACGAATTTTCTAGATATCTTATTTTCCTCGGATTATGCTTGAACATGACTATGTTGTTTGTTGTTGGTTGAAATGTTTGTATTTTCTTTTTTTCCTTTGAGTTGAGTTGTGTGTTACTTATGTTGTTGTATTTGTTGTCAAGCTGTGTTTATTGGTTGTTATGTTATGTTTGAACATGGTTGTTTTGTTTGTTGTGGTTGAGTTACTTGTTTCTATGATGGCTCGTTGGTTCGGTTAGTGCTGGGAGACAAGTTTGTTTGTTGGCGTGTCAGTTCAGTTGTTGCTAGAAGACATGATTGTGTGTTGGTTCTTCGGTTTAGTTGGTGTTAGGAGGTGCATTTGGTTGCTATGTCTTATTTTCGTAACTTGTAAAATCAAGTTTTATTCCTTTCGCTATTGTGAGGTGTTAAGACAAGATTGTCTATAAGACTGAACAGTCTAAACGTCCTCATACGTTTTGAAGTTTAACAAACAACGATAAACGAAATGAGCATATGATAGTGTTATAATTAGAAAAGAAATACAACTAAAATATAAGTGGTTTATGAAAAAGCTTTGTGAAATCTAAATACCTTAAAGATTTAATAAACACACTAGTACATGAACAAACACACACCACTAAAGGGTTTCCCTATTTAATGCGTCAATGAGAGTATTGTTGAATACATCTACTGTTATACATTGCTAAATATCGAAATAACTTAAAAAAGCGTTTACATTGGTTAGACAATACCATGTGTCAAAACGATCTCCTTCATCCAAAAACGATGAAGTCTTCATCAACTACTCAATATCTTAGTTAAAAGCTTAAACGATCAAATCATGCCTAAATGATAAAAAACGGGAAAATCACTTTATTGTTTTGAACATTCATTAAATGCCATTAAATGCACAATGTTTAAAAGCAACAAAAGTGTTAAGAAAAAGGACATATTTACTTGCATGCATATCTACTATATTTTGTGCGGATTACCTATGTCAAGTATCCACCTAAAGATATATCCTTTTGTTTTGCGCATATATCCTTTAGACGATTCATGTTGTAAAGCATGTTTCACTTGATAGATTTTTGCGCTTATTGCTTTACAAGATTTACTTAGACATTTTTATACTCATCACTTTGGGAATGTATATATATTTTTAAGCACAGTGTCTTGACAAGTGTAAGTAGGCTTCTCCTACTGATTAGATGCTTCTTCTTAAGAATATGTCATGTCATTTTAACCTATCTCTTTTGTTATTTGATATTTAAACGCTTCGTGTAGCCTTAGATATAACCTTGATATTTACTCTTATTTGACTTAGCGCTTAGATGCATCTAATCTTTAGCTGTTTTTCTCTCTAACTTATTTTTCTAGTTAAGCGAGCCTCTAGATGGTTCATTTTATGGATGCTTAGATGATTTTATGGTATCCATTATCTAGTGTTCAGATGCTCTTTTATGACCACTCGAGAATGTGATTTTATTCTATGCATTATATATCTATGTTCTTTCCTTTTTCTTAGACATTTGATTACTCAAGATTATTTCATTTAATGTTGTTTGTTAAACTTCAAAACTAGAGATGTTTTAGATAATTTAGTCTCTCTAGAAGATCTTGTCTCAACACAATGAAGAGCTAATGGATGAAATAATAATCCACAAGCAAATGTATCCTTACTGGGACTCACAAGTAGGAAGCATGACTCATAGTAAAGCTCAACAAATAAATTATTTTTCTCCAGTTGATCTGACTAGGATTATATGTCATATTACAATAAATGAAAAAAAATCTAATTAGTTGTAGACACATTATCCCACTTAGTAAATAACTTTCACATTACTCTATTATTTCTTTAGTCTTGTACTTACTTTGCATATAGTCTTGTCATCTTACTATATTAAGATTCCAAGTTGTATTTAATGTGTTTTGGGATTCAAATTATAAAAGTTTGAAGTTCATAGCTAAGTTTGAAATTTGAATTTGTGTGTATGAGTCTCTCTGTAAAAGAGAGACTCCCCTCAAAGATATAAGTTGTTGAATAAAATTCTATATTTCCGTGTCTTTCTTCTAAATTTTATCTTCTCTGAAAGTATGAAATATATGATCTATAATATCTCTTCATAACACAAATGCAAGTATACTCTACATTCGCCTCTTTTGAGGATCAGAAAGCATCAGACTTCTAAAACATTTATGATAATAATCTCGTTTTGTAAGAATTGAAAATAACTATAAATAAAGATTTGGTGTCACTTTCATAGAGAAGACAACATTCACAATAAGATTTTTTTTTTCAGCAAGTCCAGTTAAAATAATAGAAAATTGAAATAAAATTATGATCTTCTCATACCTTTCGGCTTCATGTTTCTTCAAAATTAATATAATTGGACTTCTACAATATCTGTTGGCAAAAACAACATATCCATAAAAAGTAGAAGTAATCGGTTCTGAGTAAAAGAATTGCCCAAACCTACCTTCTGTTTTTAATCAAAATAGAAAAAAATTGTTTAAATTTTGAAATACTAGTTGTGTTGACCCTTCATAATCATCAAATTCATATAAACAAAACAAAAAAAATTAACCTTGACAAAAATTATAGTTTAATATAACAAAAATTACGTTTTTTTTCTTATAGTTTAATATAACAAAAATTATGTTTTTTTTTTCTTATAGTTTGATATAACAAAAACAAGGTCAATAAAAATTATTATTTTTTGTTGTGGAAGAAGTTCCACCAATACTAAAGTAAAATTCTATGGTGTTGGAAGCAAACATCACCTAAACTTCACAAGATGAACTCTTGATTAAAAAGTATTTGAAATGAGTTTTTTTTTATAAAAAAAAAAGTATTTAATTGTTTGAAAAATACGTAAAAATGTCATATTTAAAAGTAGAAAATGTTACAATAACTATTTTTTTATATATAAACTTATGTATGAGATGACTATGACATCTTAGTTAGAAGTGAGATATTGAAACACATCAATCATTTTGTAACCATGTGAAAAAATATTATTAAAAGAATAATTATTTAAAAAGTTAAATTAATAATATTTTTTACTAAATGACAATGTAAAATTATTTTAGAAAAAAAAATGAAAGTTTACGAAAATATTAATCTTGGTTACAAAACTTGGATGAATACTTTTAAGTAAGTTATATCATTATAATTATATATGTTTTCATTCACAGCCATTCATGTTTAAAAAGGATCAAATCCAGTGCCTCTCAAACTAACAACTTGTTAGTAGTTTTAAAATATTTTTAAATTAGCTTAATTGATAAACAAATTTACATTCAACACGTTTAATTTTGTTTCATTAAAAAAACGTGTATAATGTTGGTTGAAGAGATATTATGATCATTGACTAAAAAAGTTAAGAAAAGTAAAGTTTCTTTTTGAATAGTTAATTGCAAAGGAAAATCCGTTGATTTAGTTTTACATAAAGTTGAAAAGACATGGAGTGCAAAATAAGACAAACAATAATCACTGCATTAAAATAAGTTATCTCCCTTTTAGGAATCCAACAAACTAAATTTACTTGATTAATGCTAATTAGAATTTTCTGTATAAACAATAAAAAATTTACTCCAGGGAATAAAAATATTCTATTCAAAAGTGTGACACCCTATTGTTGAAATTTGTTGCTTTCCTTCTACAGTGTATGTTTTGGACGATAATAGCTACAAATTCATGTGAATGAAGGATTATAATTGTAAAGTCTGACACCAGATTCTGAAAAATAATATTTATTTTTGTCCTACTCACTTACACATTCACATGATGAAATATGATCAGAGAATAGTTTTACAAATAAGAAAACAAATAACATGGCATTTCTGCTGTCGGCCAATTATCACATGACATTCAAATGATCCAATAAAGAACCTTCATGAGTCTATATTCAACGTATGACAATTTTACATTATTCATGATGGTCATGGTGATACTTTATTTGTTCAGAATCTCTCAGCACAGCACCTTTTGATGTTCAGAACAGTGGTACTAGTGGTTGAAGTTTGAAACCTAGTGATGTAGGAATTCTGATGGGTCCAATGTCTTCAGTAGAAAACAGTTTTTGGAAATTGTGCAGTCTATTAGCAGCATGCATGGACCTGGTTTCCTAGAAAGAATCATCCTCATTTGCCAATTATTCAGACAAAAAAGATGTTATAATTCAACAGACATGTGTAATTCATATGTTTTGCAGTGTGATTCCAAAAGGGGACATTTGTTTTATATTTTTCTGTACATAAAACTGTGCAGCACCTCCAGTCCTCCTCACTGTAACCTTAAATTACACATTTCTCATAAAAGTTACTGTTTTTTTAATATCTTCTTTTATCTTTTTTTTTCATTTATCATGTTTGAAATCTAAACATGCAGACACATTTTTGGTCCTGTTAAAGAAACATTGATACAGAGAAAATGATTGTATATCACAAATTAGATAGACTTTTAATAGAAAAAAGGTAAAACATTCAATTTCTCTTGTCTATATTAAAGTAGAGACTAGTAGAGTTTCATTTCTTTGAGTTCATGAAGTAAATTTGAGTCATTGTATATTAATTTTTATGGAAAAAAACTACTGAACAGTCCTTCATTTACTTTTATTTTTAATGATCTTGCAAGGAAACGTTAATGTTTGCTTTACCAGAACTTAATCAATGGTCTAGAACTTCATCAATTGATTTATATTCAAGAAACAGAAGTAGCATTACTCAGAATTTTATACAATCCTTTCTGTTTCTCTTTGTGGCATTATATTTCTCTCTTAATTACATGATGTGCTGTGAGTTGTTGCATAAATAACATATCTGAACAAATAAAAAGGATCAAATAAATTACACCAAACAAAATTCAACTTCAATGTTTATCATAACATAGAGTTTACATTAATAATGGGCACTCAAAAGAAAACACTCAGTTGAAAGTAATCTTACACCTTCAGCCTGTATACTAAGATGAAAAATCCTAAACAGCACTTAAAAGCCACCAAAGCCCAAATATTTGGCCTGATTAAGTGAAGTCTGGGCCAATATCTGACCAATGAGTGATAGCAATGGTGGCTGCAACTGCCACACCATAGCACAACCGCACTAGGAAATACAAAAGCTGTTAGACTCAAAAATTGCTTCATGCTTAAGACAAGTCCCTAACTAAAAGACCTATCCACTCACTAACTGTACAAGCCACCGAGGACAAGAAAGAACGCCCTTGGATATTTTAGTTATACCATGATTATTAGCATGCACCAAACACTGACTTCAGGACTAACAACTACCATCCACATACACACTATTGCCATTGGTATATACACCATTCAATGAACCATTTGGTGCTTTGAAGCCCTTTACACTTTGGTGTGCTTTCAGTTTTGGTGAGTGTCTATTATACGTAGCTAACTTGGAGTAACCATTTGGCACCTTCTTCCTTGGCTCACTTGCTGCTGCAATTAGTCCTGTTTTGTCAATGAAGCAGCAACATCATTTAGTTTATATAAAGAACGTAACTGTTATGGAAACAAGGGTATTTACTCTTCCATAGATAGATTCCTAACATGATGCTTCACGTAAAAAATTAAATGAACTACAGCTTTTCAACAATCTATGTTAAACATACAAACAAAAATTTGATTCATTCTGATGGTGCTGATGTAAAAAGTCTCAACCAATGCAGTAAGCCAAGTACAGTTCAACCCTCATAAGACAGACATGTGAAAAACACTAACAGGATTCCCAACCAAAATTTGAAAAAGCAGAATCAATAGCTCATTACATCGATTTGTACATTTGAACTGGAAAAAAAGATGGGAAATGACTCAAGAAAGTAAAGTACCTGAGAAGAGTGGAGAAGGTTTTCCAGGTCTAGAATTGAACTCAGGGTGAAACTGAACGCCAATATAAAAAGGATGGCTAGGCAATTCAACTATCTGCACTCATGCAGATAATTTCCAGAATTACAATTATTAGTTTTGCACAAATCTTAATATCCACACCATTATACACAATTTCAACTAAAGACTCACTTCCATGCGCCTCCCAGTTTCATCTTTGCCTACAAAAGACAGACCAGCAGTCTCTAGCTGTGATACCATGTCAGGATTAACCTGTACAGCATAACAATCATTTTTAGTGCCTGTCATTTCCTCTTCAGCCATAAAGAAAGTTTCCGTTTACAAACACAATTTACCTCATATCTATGTCTGTGTCGCTCATCAATAAAGCTTACATTGCCATACCTATAAAGAATTCCAAATTCCATAATCACATGTATGCAATATCAATATATAATTGAGATTTAGAAGTTAGCATTTTGAATTAATACTTTTATAAGGGGCGTGTTAAAATTTTCAATAAAATAAAACCAAGTACAGAAACCACATTCAGTTTGGTTCTAAATTCTCACAATTTTGCAGATTTGCTGTCAGCAACTTCAAAGTAGGTTCTTCTTGAACCAAGCCGCATAGTTGCCCCCATATGAGTCTTTGAGCCCTATCCATAAAATACAAACCAGATTAACTAGGTTTTCAAAAGGAACGATGTTATCAACATATGCAGCGCATATATATAAGAGAATATACTTCTGGCATAAATATGACACAAGGGGTCTTGGTTTCAGGATTAAATTCTGTGCTAGTGGCATCATGCAGACCAAGAACAGATCGTGCATACTCAATGACAGCAATTTGCATCCCCAAGCAAATGCCCAGAAATGGAACATTATGTTCTCGAGCATACTTAGCAGCAAGAATTTTCCCTTGCACTCCTCTATCACCGAAACCTCCTGGAACTAGAACACCATCAGCGCCCTGCAGAATAAGTCCAATTACAGAAAACCAATAAATAATATATCACTGAATGAGATTTTAACATATATATATATATATATCGATATTAAAGATCTGAAAATGGAATAAATATGTTTAGTCTAAATAGTAGGAATACCTTCAAAAGATTCCATGCAGCTTTATATGCCTCAGGATCCTGCAGCAATATATTTAATCAATCATCAGAGGGTTGCATAAAAGCAAAACCAAAACCAAAAGGCCAACTAACATAAGTAATGCAGTAAATAGATCGGTAATCACCTCTTTATAAGTAGCTTCTTCAAGATCCCCGGCCGGAACCCAGTCTACGTTGAGTTTTCGGTTGCGAGCAACAGAAGCATGTAAAAGTGCCTTCACAAAATAACAAGTACATTAGCTTATGGAATACCAGGGTTCAGTTTAACAATTATGTTTCAGTATGCATACTGAATAAAAAAGTTGTAGAGATTACAAAAGGAGGAAATTTTTAAGTATAAAATACAAGGGTTCAGTTACCTTCAGAACAGAAAGATATGCATCTGAAAGGCCAGTGTATTTTCCCACCATTGCAATTCTAACCTGAGGCACGTAACAATGGTTGTAAGCTCCACATTGGCCACTATTAAGATAAATAAATATCTATGCACATGATTTTTCTTTTTTTCTTTAGATGATTCATATTTGAGATGTCTGACACTCACAGTTTCATCACATCTGTCATAAATTTTTGTCCTTGCAGTCCACTCCTTCAAATTAGGCTCTGCTGCAACACTGTAAATGATAAAGGAATTAGTTTAAAGACACAAACATTTTAACTAACAGCTAATACATAACCACATTTTTAGAAAACCATAATGGATTAGGAATCTTTATGGGGAAATGGAGGGGGTTAACACCATAAAAGCATAAGTTTGAATAACCAACCCTAGCAAGTTTAATGCTTTCAGGATCGCCTCATGTGCCTTCTGGTCCTATTTGTAAAGATAAATTCAAAGGAAAAAGTTTAGGATCTTGCATGAACTTAAACCATTTAAAATGCAAAAGTATGAAATTCAACTTTAACAAAAAAAAACTATCAAAACCATGAAATTAACAAATTAAACTGCATAAATATGGTTCCAGCAGTCCTGGAAAAGGGTCACAGAGAAGAGTTTCAAGAAGATTATAGAATTACTTACTTTCAATAGCAGAGGAATATGCCAAATGTTTGGAACATCATGGAGAGTAAGGATGTTTGACAGCTGCATATACAAAAGCTTGTCTTAAGAATACATGCAAGCGTTTCGTGAAAGAAAAATGCAAGTTGTCATAGCTAATTTCTTATTACCGGCACATGACAAAATTGAGCAAGTTTTGCCTTGACATTATCATCAAGTTCCTGGTAAAAGGACAATACAAACAGATTTTTTTAATCATTATTACATGGACCACAGAATAAAAAATAACAAGAGAAGAAACACACCTTCGAACTGCGACACGCAAGAAGATTAGGGGTCAAACCTAATCCTCTAAGTTGACGAACACTGTGCTGAGTTGGCTTTGTTTTCTACAGATAAGAAAAATTCAAATAAGTGTTGATCATATCACTTAAATGTTTCAGCAACAATATTCCATTAAATTTACTTAGGACCAAAAAATAGAAACTCTGAAATTTCAATTTTACACTCTACTTGAATATGTTTTATTTCACATTTATTTCTAATAAAAAAATACATTAAAAATGCTCCACTGCCAAAATGTTTAACACTATACCGGTTCACCAACAACATGAAGGATAGGAACCAAGCTGACATGAACCAAGCAGAAGTTGCCAGGGCCTACACAAAAAGAGATAAAAGTTAGCAAGACTGATTTCGTGAAGCATGCCAATAATCAAATTAAGATATATGAATCAATAGAGTATGAGATTTGAAGCATGACAAGCATTACCTACACGGTATGAAAACTGGCCAAGTGCTTCAATAAAAGGCATTGACTCAATATCCCCTGCATGAAAGAAAAGTCATTGTAAATTAGTTGCTTTAAAATATAGCCGATCCCACCACCAAGTGAAAAGAAACTTGGTGGTTATCTTAGAATATAGTTCTAGAGTTTTCACAGTACGGAAAATATGAATATGAATATTATTTTCTCCCACTGTTTGCTAAGTATAAGTCATTTTCAATTTTTAGTTTTCAACTTCCACCTAACCCATGATCTTTAGAATTAAATATGGGAAAAAAATTGAATGGATATAGAAATATAATATTGAAAAAGTTCTATCTTAATATTGATTGAAAGTTTCCTCTGACTATTATTTACCTATAGTTCCACCCAATTCAATGACACAAACATCAGCTGGCCCTTCTTTCCCGTCAACTGGTATCTTTGCCACACGTTCTATCCATTCTTGGATAGCATCTGTTATGTGTGGAACTACCTAAAAATAAAGCAAAAAACAAAAATGAAAACCAAGGCACCAACAACAATTACAAATAGCTTCAAAGAGGAAGAAGAATCAGAGATTAAGTATACCTGTACGGTCTTTCCAAGATAATCTCCTCTTCTCTCCTTCTCAATAACAGACTATAAACATCCAAAACAAAACAATTAGAAACATCTGGCTCACCTCTTCAAAAGTAAAGAAGAAACCCTTTAAAGCAGTGCACTCACCTGATAAATTTTTCCAGTAGTTATGTTATTGTCGCGAGTTAATTTAATGTCCAAAAATCGTTCATAGTTCCCAAGATCAAGGTCAACCTTCCACAAACAAAAAAAAATGAAAATGGCAATCTAAAACTTCAGAGGAAAACAAACTGCAGATATCCTCTTTTACTACGACTCAGAAAGTTTTAGCTTGAACTTATGAAGTAAAATGAGAAAATGAAAAGAGCAGGGGAAAGTATAACATAACATACAACCTCAACCTTCCATTGAATTTAGAAGGAAAGAAAAAATCTAATGACTGTCATCTTGTAGAAAATTTTCATTTGCTTACCTCACCACCATCATCTAAGACGAAAACCTCCCCATGCTCGAAAGGAGACATTGTTCCCGCATCAGTGTTCAAGTAGGGGTCTGCAAATGATGGAAAAATTAAAACAAAGGTAAAAATAGCGAAAATAACATTCACTACTTTACATAACATGATAATAAAAGCAAACAGGTTTTTAATTATTTATAGGAGGGAAGAGAAACACTGCACAAAATTGAATTGACTTTCTTTAAAAATACAAAAGAAGAAAACACTGAGGAGAAAGAAACACAATGCAGGAGAATCAAGAGTCCTCCAAAAACAAGAGAATAAAAATATCAAATAAGTGGCTTTGTAAACCAAAAAAATATACCCCCTTTTTCTTCAAGAAAACCATTTCCATTCAAATAGAACCTCAAGTAGTCCAAGGAACCGGACGAAGTTGGCCATTCAGCAAGCCAATCAAACTTATGATAGTAAAAAACACAAACTGCATTCTGTTCCCGAATTAGAAAGAAGGGTAGAGAGCTTTGAATCCAAGGGAGAATAAGAACGAGAAAAATACCAATCTTGATAGAGGTAACTCTAAGACCACAGGCCTTGAGGATCAGGCCAATACTGCTGGCAGTGACTCCTTTCCCAAGTCCACTCACAACACCACCAGTCACCAACACATACTTCATTTTTACCACCCTTTAAGTTGGTCAGTGAAACTAGTACTCTGCTGCTTGTCCAATGCACAAAGCCAGAACAAACCCCTGAAAATGAGCACTATGAGAAGACAACAACCACCAAAACACAACCTAGGACCATAAAAACAGACACATACAACTGTAGTTCCAATAATACCACTACCCAAGTACAACCACCACTACTTATACTGAGAACCACTAACCCCTTTTAGCCCTCTGATAAAACTAAGAATGATGACAACAACAGTACAAGAAAGAAACAATGCAAGAGTGGCGGTTTCTAGTAAGTGGGGTGGTTCGGATAAGATAGCTAGATAAGTAATATGACATTACTACTACATACATAGATATCATAAGCAAAGGAAAATGGGAAAAAATAGAAAAAGGTGGGAACTTTGAAGAACCCCACAAGGGAGAGAATAATGAGGAACCTTGTTCACAATGACGGGGTTTACAAGGTTCTTCCTTTCACTGCTTTTCTGGGAACCAACCCCCTTTTGGCCCCAAAGCCTTTCTCTTTATAGCCCCCCAACAAAGAGAGGGAAACACCCTCTTGCTGCCTCTAAAAACGGCTCAATCAACCCACAAATGGGACAATAGTTGGAGGGGTTGTGTAGTTAGGATAGTTATGTGTCTAATTATGTGTGTATGACACAAAATGGGAGGAAAAACAAAGGGTATAAGGTTAGGACTTTGATCAAGATGAAGAAGATGCTTTTTGGGTTGCCTCTACGGTTAACAAGCATCAAAATGTACCCTCTTCTCTCTCCCTCTCTCTTTCTCTCTCTATGTCTCCTGTTCTTGCTGTTCTTGTTACAGGCGGCGGGTGAACGTGGAAGATGGCTTCACCTTCCAACTTTAAAAAGAAGCAAAATCCATGCCCCAAAAGAAAAAAACAAAAAGAAAAATATAAATATAAATATAAAAATTGAAAATTTACTCCTCCTTTATTGGTTGGTTAAAGGAATTAGGTAAATAAAATAAAATATATAAAAAATAAGGGGGATCTTTCATTTTTGTTTTTGACGCAATCAAAAATCAACCAAGAATTAGGAAAAGGGTGGTAGTTAGTTGCGATGTTGCGGAGAAAAAATTGTGTCAGGGAGACCGTACTATAATTTCTTGGAATCGGTCCCTGCATTTCAGCAATAGAAATACAAATTGTTCATCATAATTAAAAAAAATTACCCATATCTAGAAAATTTATAACTTTTCGGTATGTTGTAAAAATAGTAAATACCTTTATCAGAATTAATTACTTTCTTTTAACCTAACTCCTCTTCTTTATCAGTAACCTAACTCCCACTAGTGCAGTAAATGTTATTTTTTTCGATAATATATATATATATATATTAAAGGATGGAGGTGGCAATTAGACAGCTTAGGAAAGGGTTTGACTATATCCAAAATTAAAATCTTACTCGATCCATTAAAGTTGGAAAAATCTAAATCATTGTCTATCTTGTTTCAAGAGAATTGTTTTAGTTACATAAAATTTTAAATATTAGTTATTATGTCACAATTTTAATTTGGTTAATTATTCATTTATTGTTTATATGAACTTTATCTTTTGACCCATATATTTAAAATTATCCATTTTACTTCCTTAAAATACCATTTCAACTTCTTTTAGTCTTTAGACATACCCATTGTTTTTTTATTTCCTTCCATCTAAAGTCATGAAAAGACAAAGATTTAAAAAAGAATATATGAAGAGTGAAATGAAAATGAAACGAAACTTATTTCTTAAATGGGTACGGAATAATTTACCTAAATAATTAACGTGCCTCCATTCCAGAACATTTCTGAATTCAAAAAAAAAAATATTTAATGAAAGATGAAGATAAAACAAATTTCTAAAAATGTGAGACACGATGTTTATTTTTATTTTTTTGAAATTCACTTTTACTTCTCACTCCAAAAACTGTTTGAATGATGGTGTCAAGAACACTGAATCATTTATCGTTTTTGAATCCTTAATGACACAGTGAGGGAGCACGAGTGTTGATTTTTCTGAAGGATGAAAATCATTTTCACACTCATTTATTCATTTTTCAAATTTCAATGTTGATCCTTCTTTCATTCCGCGTTTCATTTTTGACCATTCGCATGGCAAAAAGAGAATGAATCTTTGTGCCACGTGTGTGTGATTGTGCCGATGGACAAAACAAAGTCATTTGGCATGGTTCATTCGACATGGTTCATTCGATATATGGAATTTATAAATAAAAACATTGTTCTTCAATTATAAAGCTGTGTATATTATTTTAAGAAATAATATATATATATTTTTTTATGAATTATGAATAAAATTGATGGCATTGAAAGAAAATGGTTACACATGATTGTTCTATTGATAAAATTCGTTGGAAAGTTTGAGTAGTGTGAGAATGAAAAGAGCACCGTTAAATTATGAATAAAGTTTTGAAACAACGTTGGAGATTTGAGTAATCAGATTCTCCTTCCACCTCTTTTCACGGAGAAACTTTTAATTGGTTTGTTCCACAAAAGCAATCTCAAACCGTAGAATCAAAGATAAAAAAGTGTTGTTCCTCCATTCATTCACACCAGACAAATCACAGTTTTCAACAAAGGTCGTCTCATATACCAACACTTGGCACCTTAAATAATCAATCTCTCTCAGAACACAGTTTGTACAAAACTAATGTTTTTTTACTTTTAGTTCTGTTACAAACTTTCACCATGCCTGCAGAGGAAGTTTTCTCGGTTAACTGTTACTTACTTTTACGGAGGAGAGGTCATAGATAGGATTGGACATAATTAGCCTAACTGTACTAAACTGTATCTATACTATAAAAATTAAACTATTTTTATTAAAAACTGAATTATACTGTTTTGTAATTCAATTTAAAAAACTGAACTTTTATATCAGCAGTTAACCAGTTAACTGTTTCAAACTGTAATAATATAATAATTGATCAGAAAAACCTTAATCAAAATCTATCCATTTATAAATTGCAATAATATAATAATTTTCAATAAAAATAAATACTTAAATGAAAAATAATAATAAATTAGTATGATATATAATTATGAAAAGTATGATATACAAATATAAATTAATACAAATGACTAAGTTGCATGTTTTATGAGAAAAAAATAATTCATACCAATTTGTAAATAGTATTAAATGTGTCTTTTCTTTGTTATCTTAAAATTATTTCAGAATAAGTTTTTAAAATTAATTTAAATTCTTAAAGTACTTTTTGTTAAACTAACACTTAAAATTGTAATTTTAAAATTTAATTTAGGATATTTATTTATTCAAAAACACTTTTCAATAACTTTTATTTAATAAGAAAACAAATAGTTCATTTATTTGAATTATGATAAAAGTGTGTTTTTCTTATGTTTGCATTTGTTATGTTTGCGTGGAATCCCATTTTGTTTGGTCACCTTGTGAAGCTCATTTATTTGAAGCAGTTTAAATGAACTACTAATTCAAAAGTTCAGTTTTTTTAAATTGAACTACAAAGCAGTATAATGTAGTTTTTAATAAAAACAGTTTAGTTTTTATAGTACAATATAGTATAGATAATCTATAGTTTAGTACAGTTACGTTAATCATGCCCAGCCCTAGTCATAGATATACAACATTCATTCCCCTTAAATCGATACAAGATCAATTTTTATGGAGAATTTATATTTTCTTACCCTAACCCTGGTAAATTATCACCTCATTCTTTTTCATATATATATATATATATATATATATTGCTTATATGAAGAGTATTTTATATATAAAATATTAAGATACGCGAAATACTCTATTAATAAATATTAGATAATCAAATATTGTATTAGTTATAATTTAAACATTATTATAATTTGTGTCTACATTATTTTAGGAGGACATTTGTATGTATGTATATGCTAAACTACTTTTTATCAGAATTATTCTTTAAATATTTTTATATGTATCAGAGTCATGGTTAGAATCTATCCTAATGATATTTGTAGTTTGTTGGACATATTGCTTCACCCGCTATCGAACCACACATTAATGTCACGAGATATATATACCTCAGCGAGACGAAAATGTGTTGAAAATTTCACGTCCACATAAATAAGACTAATTTAGAGTATATAAGTGGGTTCAAATTTTATGTTACAAACTCGTTTTAAAGTCCATTTTTTAGTACGTATGTAAAATACTCTTCATGTAAACAAAATATAATATATATATATATATATATATATATATATATATATAATGTGATATATAAATTTGCATATTGCATGATATATAATGCCTAAATAAATAATCAAGTAACTTCATGCTAGTTCATTTATATGCATGATATTATATTTGATACTTTTAAATATAAATGTACGAGGTGAAGGTTTGTATTTTTTATTTTGATAAAATTTTATATGATAACAAACTATTTGATAAATTTTAGAAGAGTAAGTATATTTGAGATGTTAAAGTTTAAAATAATATACAATTAGAATTAAGTAAATCGAATAACGACTTTATAATAGTTTGAACGTTTATAATAATTTAAAATTTTCATGTTTAAAATTGTTTAACTTTTTAGTAGAAATTTTATTTCATACTTTTTATATATATCATTTTTTTAACCTTTTATACTTTTGTTATTAATCTTTTTAATAATATTTTTCAAGTAAACACAATATATCTAACATAAATTTAAAAAAAAACAATTCCATTATTGATGACATTAGTAAACTATTTTTGTTCTTATAATTTTTTTAATAAAGGCTTAATACCTTCTAATGTTTAAAGTAGTCCTATCTTTTAAAAAAAGTTTTAATTTGTGTAAAAACGGTAAGTTAATCATTTTTGCTTACAACATTAAAAATCTAACAATGCACTGGCCAAAACTAAATGAGGTGTTCAGTTATTGATTGTGTGGTAAGTTGAGGTCAATTACATTTTACCTTAATTAGAGTTTATGCTGAGGTCAATTACCCTTTACCTTAATAAGAGTTTTAGAAAATCTTGACTTGCATTTTCTCGAACAAACTCAGCAGCGTGGGTTCTTTGTCGCACAAGGAGACACCCTCCTCTTTCCTCTCCTCTATTTGTGGGTTGACATCACGGGAACCTTTCTTCTTTCCTTCTTTTTGTTACAGTTCTGTTTGTATTAGGGTTCCGAATTGGGGTTCCATTTTTGAGATTCTGATCGATCTCGCGACGTTGGGTTTCCTTTCTTGGATTGTGTTTTTGTTTTGTTTTCTCTACAGGTTGGTGACATAATGGTTGGGGTTCTTCGTGATCTTATGATTTAGAGATTTTAGGGTTTTCGTTTGGGGTTGAGGGTTCTAATTTGGAAATTTCTTGTCTCTTATTTCTCCTCTAGAGATTGTTAATGCGATTTTGAGGTTAGAGTTTTCGAATTGGGGTTTTGTTTTCTGATTTCACGTTTTGGGATTATCTGCATTTGTATTATGATCTTCACTTTTGGGGTTTTTGGAAATTGTAATATTGCGTTTTGGGATTTGGATTTTGTTTCTGAAATAAAGTTTTGATGGTGAATTGCTTCTAACCTAATTATAATTTCTCTTTAATTTTCCACGTCATTAACTTTTATTTTTAAAATTTACGACCTCAGCATGTTATGCAACCCATAACACCGCCCAGGAACAACTACACTGGTAGTTAGTTGAACCATTTTTACCCAAATGAGTACATTTTAAAACATTTTTTTGTAAAAAGTATGACTCCGCTTTGAATAAACGTCCTCACTCAAGGGACAACATATATTAAACCTTTAATAAACATATACTTTAAAATCATAAAAATATTTATTAAATATTTAATTAATAGTATTTTGAATTTTAATAATTTAAGGTACGATATCACTATATATTT